ATTAAAATTATTAAATGATTTAAATTAGTTATTACAATTTAAGTATCAATAAAAATGGTTTTCCCAAGGCTTTATTTCTAAAGTACACATAGGATGGTTGCCACCTGTTTATAAAATCAAATTCAACTTTGATTAGGTAATTAAAATATGTAGCACAATATGGATGTCAGACGAAAGAGATTCAATGAGGTTATTTTTAAATATTTATTTATATTTCAGAAAGTGCACAAAAGTAGCAGGTTTTTATTTTCTGTTTCGGACCCTAAAATTACGTACTTTTAAATAACGGAATAAAAAACATTTTGAATAACATTTGAAATATTTTGAAAATTGTTTTTTTTTTTTGGAATACCGTACTTTTTTTTTAATTTCATTTCAAAACTTTTATCCTCATAGTTGAGTGAGATGAAAATAGAATTACGCCTTTGCTGAAGATATACTACAATATTGAGTTTACTGAGGCTTGGTGGTGACTTTAGAATCTTTACTGATAAAACCAAAACTCATACATTCTCAGAATCTGTCTTGTTGTTTTAAACCAAGGAATATGTTGTCGTCAAAGCCATGGACTACATGGTGGTAAATAGATGGAGAAGCAGGAGTTTATAGTTCAGTAATGTACTCTGATTTCATGGTCTGTCGAGAGTGTTTGGCAATGCAACATCTGACCATTTGGCTAGAGAGGGCTCAGAGCAGGTACTTCTTAGCCCACAACTGATTATAACACTCTCACCTTCGGCAATCGAAGTCACCCTCAACCATTTTTTGTGCTTCCAATATGCCTTATAGAGATTTTTTGCTCGTATATCGAGCCACCCTACGGTATATGTATACCAAAAGCAAAATATTATTAAATTTGTTTTTGCTTTAAGACTTTTCAGAGCCAAATCGGTAATTTTTCCACTTAGCAGTCATGCTTTCGAAAAGAATTTGTAATACATTTGTACATGTATAGGTACGATTTCATTGTGTTTTATGCCAGGTGCTTATTAATTTTTTAAGCTTATTTCAATGCCACTTATGCGGCTTGCTAATTAATTTTAACCTTTTTTGTAATGTCTAAGGCCTTCTTACAAATTCTTCTGATTAAAATAAAATGCATGAATTTTTTAAGTCTAGACAGAAATAATTCAAAATCCCCGTTATTAATGCAACCTTTGTATAACAGTCGTAGCACAGTTGATGTCAACAGATGTTGAAGGTTAAAAAATTAATAATAGAAAGTTTTAAAAATGTATCTCTCTACGCACTCGAAAACCAATGACTTAGGAAAAAGGAGCCCTGCGTGCAGCCTTTCTGCAACTTATAATGATGATCTAGCATTGCAAAGATTTCGCTGAAGACTGCGCGCTGCCCACAAACTTACAGCGAAGGCCTCCACTGGTAAGTTGCTTGGGAGTTTACCCATAACAATTGACATCTTTTCTCTGGGTCCAAAGATGCTGGTTTTAATGCCTTTGTGTGTTTTTGAGCTGTCTGTGCGGTGAACTGGCGGGTGCCACCGGGAGGATTTCTTAATACTAATACCATTCCAGCTCGCCTTATTTCCTACTTTCTTTTTTAAGTTGGATACCGTCCAGAATTAAAGTTCTCATTCCCAGTAGGGCTGGAATGATGACTGTTTCTGGGGCCCATACGTTAGTTCGAAAGATTAGACTGTTTGAATAAACTTCCATTAGACGGTCTGCTTGAACTCGCGAGGAAATATGATTTTTGGAAAAGTATGGGAAACCCCTCGTTTGGACATCGCAATGGGCCTTTACGGCATCAGAGCTGCATGTTTAACCTAATATAAGTAGTCTAACGTTTTATAATGCCTATGACTTGATCACGAGCTTTTTGCCACTCAAACTGGCGCACCGCTCTTAACTTCATTTAACTTAATAGCCACTAAAGTTGAATAATAATTTTTATTATTGAATAGCTGGCACATTTTATACCTCATCAATCTCCGTTAAAAGCATTATGTTATCCTAAAATATTTGTGGCTCTTGACTGTTCTCTTCAAGCCGTTATTTTATTTAAATTTATATATTTTAGTAAACGAATGAGCCTCTTTTTTGCTTGTGTATTATTTAAGCAAGCTCAAAAACACAATCCTAGTTACTTACTAAAAAAAAACAAAAACCAGGCTCTACAATATATCAGCGTTGGCATGTTGCCTGCAATTAAGCGTTATATGTTTTATATGCAAATAGTGCTATCGGCAACAGCAGCCAACTGCTCACTTCACTTGAGTATTTCAACATTTATTTTTTGTATTAAAAATACTTAATACCGCACTTTAATAAATATGTTTTTATGTGTGCACGTAGAAATCTTGGCTATATGAATTTTATATGTACATCTATTTAAATATTATATTTACTTTTTTTTATATATAAGCACACGTAAAATTTCCACAGTCACGCCAACATTTTTAATACCTTCATCACCCTATAACGCTACCATGCAAACATTTATTATTTTAAATATTATATAATAGCAACGCTAAAGCAGTATTGCTCGGTTATGAGAACCGTCAGAAATGCACGAGTTCGGTGCTGATAAGCAGGGAGTGGTTTTATGAAATCCTGATTGCCACCCTTTACAAAATGTTAAAATCAATTAATTAAGAAGCTTAAAAAAATATAACTTCTCGAAATAAATTTTTAAGAGGTGTGCCACCTGCTAATAAATTCAAAATATGTAAATCAAATTAACTAGTTAAATTAAATATTTAAATATGGGTAGCTTTGTTTATAAAATATTTTTGGAGAGGGTTGCCGACTCTTCAAAAATATAGAATCAATTTAGTCAGTAAGCAATACGTTTAGGTATAAATCTAAAAGGGTTTCGCAAGGCTTTATTTCCTTATTTATATTTTTGAAAAGGGTTGCCACCTGTCGATCAAATCGCAATCGAATTATTTTAGAGGTTAAATCAGATATTTTAATATGGATATCAAACGATATATGTAGGTTTGAAAAGCTTTATCTGGAAAATATTTTAAAGGAGTTGCCATCTGTGTAGTAATTTAAAACGAAGTTCGTTGAAAAGTTAAATTAAATATATTAATACGGGTGTCAAACGAAAGAGGTTTAAGTAAACTTTATTTCTAAAATATTTTTGCTGAGAGTTGCCAGCTGTTCTATAGGTTAAGACCAATTTTGTCAATAAGTTAATTAAAACGTTTTAATATATTATATGTTTATAGGTATCAATTATTTTTTTGTTTATATTTATAAACAGAGTTGGCATCTTTTAAAAAATCAGTCATAATCGATTTAATTTACAGGTTAGTATGGGTATCAAACCATTATGCGTCTCAAAAGATAAGTTTTAAAATCTTTACTTCAAGAATATTTTCAAGAGGTTTGGGATCTGTCTTGTAGTTCATAATTATTTAATTTGACAAGTTTAATTAAATATTTCAATAAGTTTAAGAAAACTTTGTTTCTAAAGTATTTTTGAAGAGGGTGGCCGCCTGCTCTAAGGGTTAAAATCAACCGAAAACAATTTTGATGACTTTTTATTCCTTTGTCCAGATTTTTGACCAAGTTAAATGAAATATCGCTTTACCTTGAAAATATTTTGAAAAAGGGTTGCCGTCAATTTAATAATTCAAACCGAATAAATTTGAGAAGTCAGAGAGTTTTAATAATACTTTTAAATAAGCCCTATTTCTAAGCTACTACCAGCTTCAAAATTCAAGTTCAATTTAATGAGAGGTTTAATGAAAAGGCTTGCCACCAGTTGAAAAATGCATTTGGATTCAATGAAAGGTTTAATTAAAGGGGTTGCCACCAGTTTATAAATGCAAGTTAAATTTAATGAGAGATTTTATGAAAAGGGGTGCTATCAGTTTAAAGATTTAAGTTTGATTAAATGAGGGGTTTCATAAAAAGAGTTTCACCCAGGTTAAAAACTTAAGTTAAATTTAATGAGAGATTTAATGAAGCATTGCAATACGGGTGTCACGAATAAATGCTAAAGAACGTTTTTATCGAAAATATTTTTGAATAGGCTTGCCACGTGTTTTAAAGACAAAATTAAACTTCGTTTACTAGTTGTTTAAAATGTTACATAGAGATATCTAACAGTTTTGCACAAAATGATTTTAAAAGCATTTTAAAAAGAGTTGCCACATTCTCAAAATTTATGTAAATCATCTTTTTGGCATTTATATAAAATTCAAATTATATTTATACAAATAAAGCTACTAGTTTAGTTAAAATTAGCACAGGGATTAATCATGGTCTGAGATATAATTGGTATCAGAAAGGGGAAATATCGATTCTCAATTAAGATAACCTCTTCAGTAAGAGCAACAGAATAACTGCTTGTGGTGCAGGTGTAACATTTGATAGTCTGCTTATAACCGAGAAATACTGTAAATATAAATATTCATATGCACTCGAATTGGCACACATACATACATACATACATAATAACCATAACCTCAAATAAAGGCATGCTCGTACCTTTACTCATACATATTTGCCTACTACCTTTTGCATATTTACACTAACAAATAACGCGCATTTTTGTTTGAATGGCCTGACGGTAGTTGAAGAAAATTCTCCAACGCACCGAGTAGGCACACAAGCACCTAGCATGTTTTATTTGCACTTACTTACACCCTTTTTTGTTTGCCTATCAAGCCGGTCAAAGTTCGTAAATGAATAATTGGCCCAACACTAGTCTGTTAGTTGGCTGACTTGCTGGCTAGCTGACCAGCTGTGGCACCAACATAAACCACTTGATAGCATAAACCAGCCGAACGTTAGCGCACGTGTAAGCCCCGTTTTCCTACTCTTCTACTGTAACTGTACTTACATATACACTATTTTTTCGTGCTCGTATTTTTTTTTACTAAAAACTGCGCGATTGTTTTTTTCGCCCTTTTTGTGCTCTCATGTTACTTTGTGTCGTTCTAGCTGCATATTTTTCATGACTTTTTTTCATTAGCGTGGCTTTTGACTTTATTTTTTATATAAAATTTAATTTTTTTTTCGTAGCTTCTGCGCCTGTTATGGAGAAACCACCGCAAAATGTGACCGCATTGGATGGCAAGGACGCGACTATTTGGTGCCGGGCAGTTGGGGCGCCAAATCCGAACATCACATGGATTTACAACGGTAAGTTGAACTGAGAATGCGAGTCCATGTACATACATACATACATTCATATATTAATATGTATGAGTGTTGATGAAAACTGCACTTGAGCGCGCATACATACACATACATAAGCATAACGTAGCACTTAAGTTAATAACGGGAAAAAGTACTGTACATACATACATACATATCTATGTACGTAGATATGTGGGTGCATGTTGTTTTTGCACAACACATGTTTGTTTATCTGAAAGTTTTATGTTATTTCGTCTATTCAAGTGAAGTGTCGAAAGTTTTTGGACGTTTTTGGTTGGCATTAGAAGTACAACACTCAGACATTCATTAGACGAGAATTTTTCCATCTTTACATGAATGAATGAGCAAAGCTTTTTTTATTTTTGGCTGTATAGGTATTTATGCAATCAGTGTACTGTGTTGGAGTGGAAGGAAGTATATATAAAACAAAATTTCATGCGCTAAAGGTTTGGCAAAAGCGTGCGTAATTGCAGACACCAAATTATAGATAAAGAAATTATTCCAGGAAACTACGTGTAAAAAGTAATTTCTGTGACTGCAAACATTTCTGTTTGACATTATTTTCTATAATATTTCAACTCTGTAGCGATTACAATTTGCGATGATTCAAATTAATTTAAATACAAAAAAAAACTCAAATAAAATTATTTTATCTTCAAATACATTTAAATAAAAGCTTTATAAAAAGGTTTTGTTAGAAAATGCGAAAAACTTCTGAGCTTTCGCTTTAATTTTAATGCCACTTCATAGGCACGCGTGTCAAAGCTCGCTGTACAATTTAAATGTGCCTGCTCGAAATAAAAATTTTCTCTGGCTAACACTTCCTTAGACCAGTGAGGATCGGAGAGAGCTTTTAAGCTCATATAAAATCTACAGAAAGCTTTAAAAAGCTTGTCCCACCAAATAGCGTTTTGGTCTTCACTCCACTCGGTTTTAGGACAAATATTTCCATCCTCAGGAGATGTTGGTTAGGTGGGCAACTAATTCAATTACTGTCTTCATCGTTAGGTAGTCTAAGCTTGTTAAATATTTTAGAAAATTGAGAAATGTGCCATAAGGTGCCTCACCAAAAAAGTTGCGGTTTTTCCACCGTAATTAGAAAAAGTTTTACATCTAAGACTTCCGCTTCCAGATTTGCTTGAGCTGGATTCTCATTAAATAAATATTTTTACGACCCTTCTTAGTTTAAACTTTTCTATCATCTGAAGTGATTTTGTGATCCCTTTTAAAAATTAAAAAAATGCACACCAAAAAAGAGTTGCGGTTTTTCCACAGGAGTTATAAAAATGTTAAGTCTTACGTGAGCTGTTCTGATTTGAAAATTCATTCGAAAATCTCAATATTTGGACGTCGTTGATAAAATTTCTTAACACCTTCTAAGCTTAAACTCTTCTAAGATATAAAGTAAGTTTCTGTAAAAATATTTTCTCTAAATTATTTAATTTCCAGTTCACGTTAAGCTTAATACTTTTCGAAAATATTTAGACAGAAGTCTTTGAATATAATAAATTTTATAATTCCGATGAAAAACCAATACTCGTTTTCTTTTGTACCGGGAGCGATGCATCCTAATATACATGTGTTGTTTTATATGTATTAAGCGCTATCTATTAGTAAAGGATATAAATTAAATTCTGCAAATAAGGTGACTCATAGAACGCCGAAGCGGAGTCCGCAGGGTGCACAATTAAGACTCCCTGTACGGTGCGCTTACGCTCCTAGGAAGGCTCCCAAAAGGAGCATAGGAGTTCCTTCTCCATATATATGAAAATAGTGTGCCTTTATTACTTCTTAAATGGGTGATTTAGGAGTTCTAGACATTTGCCTCAGATAATCCGCAAAGACTTCTTTACGGACTCCCCTATTTGCCTATGATTTTGTGAAAAGGACTTCAAATCATCCGCAGATACAAAAGGAAAGATTATGAAATAAGTAAAAAAAAATATTTTTAAGACGTTCCTGTGAAGTGTGGAACCACTCTCTCTATTGATTTCTTTGCCAGAACCATATAATTTTCTATTAAATTTGTCTGAAAAGATCTAAAGTTGCAAAAAGGGATTTTTTATGCATTTTTGCTTACCTCCAAGTGCTTTCGAAACTGCCATAACGTCAAAAGCCTTTTTTGCGACCCCCTTCTTGACTAAAAATTTTATTTTCAACCTTCAGACCAGATACAAAGAAAATAAAAACAAGATAACAAAAAAATACTTTGACTCCTTTTTTATTCCATACTTGGAGCGCTCCGGAAACGCTCATTCGAAGTGTTACTGTATGAATCCTGTTTCACTCCATATTTGGGGCGCTCCGCATTTGGTTAGCTGGGAAGCCCCATGTACTTGCATATGCATTCAGTTTTCTATAATTAAAGGACAAAATTGAACAAAACAATATTTTCATAGCCTCATTCTTTACATAACCAAGGTACTTATGTATCAAAAAAATGTACTCTGTCTACCTTTCCTGCGTAGCATACATAAATTAGTTAAATGCCGACATATTTATCACTTAAGTATTCGTCAATTGTACTCACAAAAGACTCGCCCAGAGTTTTGATTGAATTGATGGCCCATGGAGACTAGTCTGGATGTACTCTTTTTAGGAGCAGCTCGAAAAATAATCTACATTGCATTACTCATACGCCCCAGTCAACAAAGACAATTAAAATTCACAGCATTCAATCTTACAATGTTGCTCATACGACATGGGCTACCAATCAGTATTATTCAAATTCGGTATTATGAACCATGATAAAAATATAGTAAGGTAGAACCGCTGAGAGTCACTTTTAAAATTCTTGACGTTTCCAAACAATTTAATTTTTAAATTTACTCACAAACTCACACACACATTTTCATTTTGAATCTCAAGCAACAACAATTTCGAACAATTTCAATTTTTTATTTTCACTTTTATATGATTTTAAAATGTTGGCAAACTTCAAAAAAAAATCATGGCCGACAAATTGAGAGATCGGTTCTACCTTGCTATGTTCTTATCATGTTATGAACGATAACGTGTGCTACAAATAAACTAAAATATAAATTGAAAGATTGTAGTTTTTGTAGGTTTATGAATCTATATTTGCTTATTTGACATAGGAATTGCCTTAGAGGGCAAATGTTGTTGTACTGAATATCAAGCCATGATTGGCGGCGCGCCGGACGGTAGGCAAAATGAAAACGATTGCGTCTTATAAGTATGTATGTACTTAGTTACTTAGTTCACTTATAAATGCTGCGTATACTGTAAAAAAGTGGCAAAAGTCCGAGAAAAATATAAAACACAACCTCGACCAGACATTCATTTTATAAAAAACGGCCAGAAGATTTTAGTTGCTTTTTTGACATTTGTAATTTTAAGCAATAAGTGCGGAAAATCGAAGGACCCTACGAAATTTCGAAAAATATAGAAAAATTGTGATAAAATCTGGAAAAATCCCGAAAAAATTCTTAACTGTACCGCAAAAGATCCAAAAAACTGTTCAATTCTTAGAAAAGTTTCAAAATAATCTCAACACATTCTCTAAAGGTCCCGAAGAAGTCTCGAAGTGTTCCAAAAATTTCAAAAAAAAAATCCAGAAATTGCGGAAAATAATCCTAAAAGTTCCCGATAAATTCTTAACCGTCCGGAAGAACCCCAAGGAACTTTTAAAATTGAGAAAAAAAGAAAAAGTCCCTACATAATCACAACAAAAGCTTGGAAAGTCTCAAAAATATTGCGAAAAACCGTCGAAACTTTGTAAATCCTCCACGGTTTGTGTTTTTTTGACCATACCTCTTCTGAGTATTCAATTCATTCTTAATTAATTATTCATTTTTGTATTAATTTCATAGCCCGTTTATGATATTTAACCATACGTACCACTGTGCTAGTTTCCAAAATATTAACAGAGCAGTCGGAAGTAAAAACTAAGTCAAGTACGCTGATAAGAGGCTAATAAATTTTACTGCCAAAAATTTGTTTGAGGGGGTTGCCATCTGTTTGAAAAATTGTATTCATTTCAATTGATAAAATAAATGAGATATTACAATACGGGTATTAAACTAAAGATGTTTAGGAAAGTTTACCGTCGAAAATTGAAGACTTGAGTTATAAGATTATACGTAAATTAAATTTCCAGGAGAAAACCGACACATCACATCTTTCTAAATAACTCCGAAAATACATACATAAGCTAACACCCAAATTTATAAAAAATAAATAATGCTTTATAAATCGAAAACTTTTTTGAAAGTCTCACTTCAAAAAGGTCTTCAAAGCTACTTAGTTATATTATTTTTTATTAATGAAGCCATAAGAGTCTTGGGAGTGCGTAACAACACAAAAATATTTTTAAGGCGCAGTGAAGCACGGCGGGTACTTGTTAGTTCTTAATAATATTTGAGCGGATTCGCAAAATTGTTCTCAAAATAATCTATCATCGAGTTGAAAAATAAATAAAAGAAACTTCCGTAACGCACAAACAATTGTTATTTTATTGCTATTGAATTCGAATATCCAAATATCTATACACAATTCGGATATCCGTAATTCCACACACTTTTCGGATATTCGAATTATTTTACATATTCAGATATTCGAATATTCGGTTTATCCGCATAGTAAAAAAAACTTCCAGCCCTGCTATATATAGATTTTCGTAAGACTGCTAATCCACAAAAATTCCTAAAGTTATTTAAGCTTTAAAAAACGTGCATTTTCAACGTTATATAAATTATAGCGCGCAAAATCATTAATTGTATCTTTTGGCATTTGCGAAACAATTATGAAAATTTAGCCGCAATTATAAACTCCTACCGCCAAAATTTATTTTAAATACTTAATAACAAAATTAGCCAATAAAAAGTTATTAAAATTTGCACGCTTCACAATTTTATGTCTACTAATACTAATGAAATGTTTGTTTTTGTTTTCCGTTTCTAATTTCGTGTGGTGCCCCATGCGACTAACCATCAACCAACCAACCCACCAACCAACAACCAAATGACCATTTAAAACCAACGCAATCAACAACACCAATATTGCCGCTAACAACAACAACATTTGCTACTACTACTACCACCACAACCAAAACTGAACCGAACCAAAACCGAACTGTAAATGTGGCAATGTGTATTTTAAAATGCTAAATGTGCTACTAAAATCCGTTTCACCGCAAAACCGCCGCATTAATTTTACGTACACCAAAACAAAACAAAAACCCCAATCAAAACCGCAATAACACCAACAATTGGCGGCTGCACACAACAAACTACCATTTATTGCTATGCTACCTGCTGGCTGTCCGTCGGGCCTGCCTGGCTATCTGCGTTGCTTGCGCGCTTTTATACTTATCATGTTTTGCCAAAATGCTAACAACTACAATAACAACGTTTATAATGAATGATACGCTCGCGCACAAAACACAAAACCAACGTCATATCCGGACACCCATCTCTACGTATGATACATCCTCGGCTGTCCAACAATTTCATCCGTACTTTGAATATTTAATGTTCCCGTGAAATTTTGATTATAATCACGGCTGCTCTTCGCCCGCCTCCATTGAATACCGTTTAATTGGTTTTTTTTTTTTAACTGGCTACGTGCATGCATCTGCTTGGCTGGCGGAAATGCCTGCGCCATTTTGGATGAATGCTAACAACAACAACAATGCCTATGTATCAACTGCACATTCCCTCTGACGGAAATGCATAATTTGTTTTGTGTGTGCCACCACCAAACAAACATTCATCGTTCGCATCATTATTTTACCGCAATTCTGCATATGACTCACATTGCTACATTTGTATATATGTATGATGTTCATCAATCACAGAAACACAACTTGTTGAAATATCCAGTCGTATGCAAATTCTGGAATCTGGAGACTTATTAATGTCGAATGTACGTGAAACGGATGCTGGCCTATATACATGCGTGCGTTCAAATGAGGCGGGCACGGTTAATGGCGAGGCATACCTAAGCGTTTTGGGTAAGTATGGTGAAAATGGCAATTCAGCGCGCTAACCGTCATGCAATTCACTTGCTTGTTTGCTTGTACATTTGTACTGTAATGGATTCTGTATTTGTATTTTGTGTTATATTAGTTTGGCGGTATAAACCAATAGCCTGCATTTATGTATGTGCTCCTGTTCCTGTTGCACGCCTAACAGTTTCCTTGGCTGCTTGTTGCGCTCTCTTATGCCGTATTTCCACTAGACCTTAAAATGACAAAAAATGTGCCCCATTTAAAAATTTATATGCAGAAAAGAGCTGAATGATCATTTTTATAAAATTAGCGACACAGGTTTTTTTATTGTCGTAGTTTGCCATACAAATTTTTGTCATTTAAGACAGGTTGGAAACCTGGCATTAGTTTTAGGTAAAACAGTGGCCCTCATAGTTATATGTAATTTTTGCAATGGCATTAATTACTTTAAATTTTTGTCCTTCGATCACATTTGATCGATATTTTATGGTTATGTTTACGATCAAGGATAATCGATTAAAAAATAACAATTATTCCTCAACGTTTTTATTCAATGAAAGAGAAATCATCCACTGCAATTTCTTGCATTCTTTTTACAATAATTGTTTGAAAACTTACTAAGTGCTGGTGTTCACGGAAAATTATTGAAGAACATTATCAGAGACCATGTCAAGGAAACACTCAATGGCGGATTAGGTGGGTGATTTTCGGGTTAAACCCCCTCGACTACGAAGTTTTCAAAAAAAAAAAATTTCTTTTATAAAACGACTGAAGATTTTCGAATCGATGAGTGGAATATAGAAAGCAATTCTATAGCTATCTTCAACGCTCCCAGTATCAACTATCGACACTGCATATATTTCTATGCCATTTGTTGATGCGTTTTTTTATATCGATGTCGTATTCTGTGCATACTTCGCCCACATTTTCAAAAATTTCGAGGAAATGAATTTTTGCATTTTTTTTTTCATCTCTTGAAATTCCTGCATAGTATCTTCTGAAAATTTCGGAGCCTCGGAAAAATCTTGCGTTTCTGATTGCAATTGCTTACTCAAAGGCAAAACGATGGTGTGCCCTGACATATGGAATTCCAACGTAGAAATAGCAGCCAGCACTTCAAAAGTTGCGAAAATTTCTAGCTGAAGTTCAATGTACGTCGATACTGCTTCGTGGCATTGAGATCATCTAGTTTAATTTGACACATAAATGGCAAGTGGAAAATCCAATTATATGTACGGTTGGGCTCCGTGGAATTCACCAGAATTCTCTGGAGCTTCATCATATCCTTGAAGATAAAGGTACGACAATCTATACCTACTTCGGAAAGGTACTTCTTGATAGTTCTTGATAACTATCCTGAAATCAAATAGGTGATAAAATTAAAGATCCCAAAACCCTCAGCAGTAAGATCCTAGATCCGCCACTGGATACACTATATATACAAGTAATTTTTAAGCAAAAAATGAAACCGACAACCTCTGAAGTACCACATTAAATCATTCGAGCTAGTTAGTTAATTAATCCATGATATTGCTTAACAACATACACTGCTACCTGAAGGTTCTAAAGAGAGTCCCTTACCAAATACTCCCAAAATATCTTGGTCAGCCTTAATAAGTCCGTAAAGGGCATTGGTAGGCAAATTCTTTACGAGCAAAGACTTATCGCTCACAAGGCAGGATCGGACTCCGATTACACCTTTTCGGTGCATATCAACTTATAATTTATTGTGTAATTTCTTTTTAACCGAATAATATGCTTTCTATTGAAGGGGGAGCCGATGAGCCTGGGCTGTATTTAGCTACTGATGCGGTCACCAGTACTTATAACGGACGTTTTTTCCACTAACTAACTGAGTCATTAACCGCCCCGAAATCTTCAACGAATATTTGAACCAGTTTATGTAATATTCGAACCAGTTTATGTAAATGAACAATGTTCCTTTTGATGTCATTCTGTTAGAGAGAATCTGAATGTCCTCTTAGCTATATAAAGAAATAACTATAAAAGTGCCCTTTAAACCCTTTTTTTTACGGTTTAATTTGGCTCAGGTTAAGAATGCTAATACTTTATCGTGGAACACTGCAGGCTATCTATCCATTGGAGTTCCAAGTTTGGGACGAGGCTCATAAGTACCTGCACCTGCTCTGCCGCCTATCGGTTTCGTGATTTTCGCGACCTAGAATTTTCACTAGGAACTCGCTGCCAAAGCACATCTCTTTAGTTTTGTATCTTCCCAAGATTGCAAGCATGCAAAAAAAAGCCTCTCCAAATCCTACGCTATACAGGTGCTCGAAGAAATCCTTATCCAGAAATGCGCATTTTCTTCGCACTGCAAACCATTCTAACTTAAGTACTTAACGGACCTACCTCTTCTATATCTTTAAAACGCCTGCATTAATCGTTGTACATGGCCAATAGCACAGCGTTCCGATTAGAAGCAATCGCTATACTTTTCATTTGTCCAGTTTAGTCCAGAAGCTATCAAGGCATATTATGGACTTGTCCACACCTTTTGAAAGAACAAACCCTTTTCTCGCCTAATCGCCCGCTTCCTCGTTTCCTTAAATACCGCTATGCTCAGGCACTCGGTAACGGCTGACGTTGTCTGAGACATTTCAGGAATTTTCGGCATTCCCAAAATCATATTAAGTTACCGACCTAAGAGCCTAAGAACAAAAAAGTCGCGATTTGAGCGAAGGATCGATAAATGGAGATTACACAACGCAGAAACCGTTTCGTATCCAAGCCAAACCTGACAAGGACATTCGTTCGAAAACACATCATCTTCTCACCATGGCGAAAGAATCAACCACTATCAGCAAATATCCTTAGGCGCTGAAAATTTTATTTTGCCAAATCCCATAGTGTGCTTTGAAATATCTGTTTTCCAATCAATTTAAATTTGTTTGCTGAACTGTGCTGTCGGTCCACATCAGACGTTGATTATGAAAACTAAAAACACCGAACTAATTTTAGTTTTACCCAAGGTCGATTTTTTATTTAAACGCAATCATTTTTTTATTAAAACATGTGCATATGTCTTGTAATCTTGTCTTTCTGTTGCCATCAGCCAAATGCGAAATGGCATAAATCGTCTTTTAAGCCACCTGTCAGGCTGGCGGCAAATCAAATTTGCACAAACTCTATTAAACTTTCATAACTTCAAGCCGGTGGCAAATACTTTCACATGTAAACAGCTTACATTGGCATTGCAAAAGCGCAAGTAGAAACAAACATTTTACTTCCGCTCATCTCGCCAATGCAATCTGCTCGCATCTGTAGAGAAGTCAGAGGCCCTGCCTTCGGCTAAGCTACACAAGCGCCCACACTAATGTCGCGCTACTTGCAACGACAGTACGTAAATACATACATACATACATATATATGTACATATGTTAGCTGCATGCCGGAATGAACACAGCCTACTATTTACACTACTGTGCATTTTACTTATACGCAGCTACGACCAAACGACACAAACAGAAAGCAAACCTAGCTGCAGCGGCATAAAAACTTAGATAGCAAAAAAAGTGTAAAAATCTAGCAAAACAAAAAAGCATCGCAAAGCCGTTTATGCGTAGTAGCGTGTATGAGAATGTGTAGTTGTGGACGCACAGGAAACAGGAAAATGCCAAGGCTTGCAATTCAATTTCCTCCCATCAGCAACGCATTTCGCATTTCCATTTAAATTCGAAAGAGTCCAAACCGTTGCAAAAACTTTTCTAATACTTTTTACCATTCTAGTTACATACACACATACATTCGTACACATAAATATCTTTCTGTTTTTCTTGTTTTTCTCATTTGCTCTTTTTCTTATTTGAACTTCCACAACGGTTGTTTGTTGCCAACCGCAATTTTATTTACTCTCTCACAGTTCGCACACAAATCATCCAGCCACCGGTTGACACCACCGTCCTATTGGGCCTCAATGCGACGCTGCAATGCAAAGTTTCCAGTGATCCCACCGTGCCGTACAATGTCGACTGGTATCGCGAAGGTCATCCGACAGCAATCAGTAACTCGCAACGTATCGGCGTACAATCGGATGGCACACTCGAGATTCAGGCGGTGCGTGCCTCTGATGTGGGCACCTACCAGTGTGTGGTGACATCGCCAGGCGGCAATGAGACGCGTTCGGCGCGTTTAAGTGTCATCGAGCTGCCATTCCCGCCGAGCAATGTGAAAGTTGTGCGCTTAGATGCACCCAACCAAAGAACCATCAACGCTTCATGGACGCCCGGCTTCGATGGCAATAGTCCAATACTTAAGTTTATTGTGCAGCGGCGTGAAGTCTCCGAACTAGGTAAGTGCATGAACATACTGCATAGCAGACAGTGAGTGTATGGACATTAGGGTGGTCCAAAAAAAAAGTAAGGTCAGGATTTTAATGGATTAGGATTATTAGGATTATTCTGTAGAAGTCGCTCAAAGCGCTCGAAATTTTCTATGGGCAACCCCATTTTTTGTGCAAATGGTATAGATAGAATTCTTGAAAATCATTTTTTTTTCGATCTAAAACTCTGTTTCTCTTTAGGAGACTTCCAATAAGAATACTAAATTGTTTATTTAACCATTTTTTAATAATAACTATTTTTGATAAGTCTCCCAAAATCTCCAAAAATTGAGATGGGGGGGGGGACTCATAAATAATCGTTAGTATTAAAAGATGGTAAAATAAATTGGGTTTTATTATTAAACGTCTCTTGAAGAGAATCAAAGTTTTCTTATTAAAAAATATTGATTTTACGGAATTCTATACCATTTCTTCAAAGAAGTGTTATTCCCCATATAAAATACCTGGAAAATTTGATGGGCTCTGAGGTAGTTCTAAATACACAAAAAATATGGGTATTTTTTCCATTTAGAAAAATCCTCTCTTTTTGACCACCCTAATGTACATACATACATATATGTGTATAAAAATATTTTTTAAGTATAGTGCAACGCAAAGCAGTTCATATTCGTATGGGTTGACTTATTTGTAAAGTGGACTGTGAGATGACCTTTATATGTATTTGGGGTGGAGGTTTACTCATACATACATGAGTATTAGGGTGGTCCTTGAAATATCAGCATGTAAATTTGTTATGGGACATTCCTTTATTTTGTTCTAATGCAAAATATAGACATCCACAAAAATTTCAAAATTTTAGACAACTTTTTAAGGGTCACTACAAGGTTTTGAAAAATATTTAATTTTTTTTTTGAAATCTGATAAATTTGACATATGTATTATTTATTGAAAATTATCAAAGTCAAAAGTTTTACGAATTTTTGCGGTTAAAAAAAGTTTAACCTTGGTAGTGACCCCAAATTTGTTTTTATTTTCAAATTTGAGACAATTTTTTAAGGGTCGCTACCAGGATTTGCAAAATATTTAATTTTTTAAAGTCGCTAAAAGTCGACAAAATGTTTACCTGCAATCTGATAAATTTGACATATGTATTATTTATTGAAAATTATTCAAATTCAAAAGTGTTTCGAATTTTTACGATTAAAAAAAGTTTAACCTTGGTAGCGACTCCAATTTCTTTTTTTTAATTTTCGTGGATGTATCAACATTAGATTAGAGTGGTCCAATTTTTGTATGGAGGAAAAAAATTTCATCCTAGAAAGCGGGGCACCCTCTCAGTTCTTTCCTTTTTATATTTGTAATATCTATACCAACTTTCAATTTTCTACTTTAACCAATACAGGGTGCTCAATGACCTCAAAAGCGCTACTGTATCGCTGTGGAACTGGCAAAAATATTGGTGATTTTTATAAAATGTTACTCTCAAAAAAAATTTGGACCACTCTAATGTACATACGTACACAAAATAAGGGGTGGGACGCCATTATGTTGATATTTTAAGGACCGCCTTAATGAGTATCAAGCATTTCATTTGAAGTGCGTAAAAAGGTTTGATTGATTTACATACATACATACAATAAGTACATACATTCATACATGAGGCCTTGCACAAACGAATTTCAAATAAAACTACATACAGTGGCGGTAAAAAAATGGATGAATGGTGTTTGGTTTTTAGTTTTTACAATTTTTTTCATGCTAAAATTTTGTTGATACTTTTTTATAAAAATGTGATCCATGCTTTAACTCTTTCGGCAGCACTGGTTTGGAATTTGAACAACATATATTTGAGGTGTTGCGCGAAGGTGGTACATTTTTTAAACCGCGAATATTTTCCTCTATTCTATGCGTAGCAAAGATTTAAAATATATGTATATATAATTTGTACCACCTAAATTAAATTTTTTTTTTATTTTGTTTATTTTATTTTAAGTCTTTCTTATTTTAAATATTTTTTTTTAAATTAAATTAATTTTTTTTATATTGTTTATTTTATTTAATTTTTTTTTTATTTTAATTATTTTTTTTTATTATTTTTTTTTTTTTTAGTTTTACTTTATATTCAATAAAATTTTATTGTTAACAATAAAACCCAAAAATAAATTTTCTTTGGCGCTTGAGGGGCTAAAAAGCTAACGAAACCCATACAAATCACACTTTCAACCTTTATACAGACTTTAGAAAAATTCCACAATTTTTTGTCAAAATTTTTATAAACTTTTTGCGTATTGATTTGTAATATTTTTTTTGCTGATGGCTCTTGCGGTTTTTTCCATATAAATAGCGAAGTTAAGGAAAACTTGCGTTGATTTTTTATTCATTTATTTTTTTCGCAAACGGTCTTACGCATGTTTTCCACAAAAAATTCATGTTTATAATCAAAAAGTGCAAAATGCCGAAAAAAGATTTTAAAAAAGCAATGCGATTTTTTACCCGTTAAAAAAAAACTTGCATTTAATTTACTAAAATTTTATAATAATGTTAACTGCAAACCCAAAAAATTTAAAAAAGTTCTGGTTAAAGGCTCGAAATTTAGATTAAAAATGTTGGAATTCCCGCTCCGCTTTGTTTGACAACATCAAGGCGCACGCCAAAAAATGGAGGAGAAGCTCGGCCAAACACTAACATATGTGTAAGCGCCAATCTATATATATTGTTAAAGCAAGAACCATATTTTTATAAAAAAATATCACAAAAAATGTTTCTTGAAAAACATTGTAAATATTAAAAAGGAAACATCATTCAACCATTTTTGACCGCCACTGTACCTACATATGAATGTGTATTTACACTCGCACATGCATGCCGGAACAAATATGTAAATACTTCCATAGAGCTTTTTAAGTTTAAGTTCACTTGTTATTGCTTGTGTGAATGTGTGTTGACCATGATTTGTTGGTCTTTCATTGAACTGGAATCAAGAAGTTCGTTTAAAATTGTCGCTTGAATAAATAAAAAATAAATACATAAAATCAGGCGTTTAAAATATTTCACACGTCTGATAATTTCCCTTACTGTCATAGCCTAGTTTAAAATATATACTGACAAACTGTTAATAGTTGAAGTGGAACTTATTATTTTCACGGAACGCAAGTTTATAATTTTCATTGTTGTTGTTGAGTTGTTAAAGAACTCGTCGTCAAGCCTGACGTTGTATTTAACCGCCTAAGCAAAAGGAAATGGCATATTTATCCAAGGTTTTCTAAACCTGGTCTTTCCATTTCAGAGGTGGCCTAGATCCCTTTTTCGGTACTAGAGCTTTTATGTCCACTGTATTTTGATTCGCTATACTATTGTCTTTGTTAAGCTCGTACAGCTGATTCTATCTTCTGCGGTTTTCGCCATCGCCAACGCGCAAGAATTTATGTATATCGTGGACACACCAACCATTTATCAGCGCGGTGTCTAACGACGAGTGTCTTATAAAATGTGAGAGAGGACTTAACTTCTCCATTGCGAACTCACTCCAAAAAGCATTTGTTATCAAGAGTTGGACTTCAAGACTGGCATTGAAGTTGTCTACTTTTTTCGAAATTTACAGGGCATTTCTGGCAGCTGTTTTTCAACTCACCACAGTCTTTCGAAGACAATTGTCAGTTCTGTCAACTAACCTGGAAGGTCTTTTCCGTCTTTCGAAAGACTAATTGAACGGTATGCTAACGAGGAGGTCTTAGAGCTATTCTTTTCGTCTTATAGCAATAAGTATTAAACAATTTAATTTAATAAAAAATATAGTTTTCTTTAAAAAAAAAACGTTTGCAAATTAAAAGAAAGTTATATTTAAAAATTTAATAAAAAATTAAATGGAAAAAATAAAATAACTTAAAATAGCATACTGCAGAATCAACTTTGTATATGTATACACATGTGCATATTTTAGGCACATATTTATAGTATATTCATTGCTTTATCAAACGAAAGATTCTAGGCCAATCGAAACCAATTTTATCGCAATTAACATTTACTTAAACCTGAACTCATTCAAGCACACAAAGAACCATTTCAAACAAAGACGCAAAGAAACATTTCATTTGAATAGCAAACAACCGTAAGCAATCACTTGTCCCATATTCTAAGATAATGATGCAACTTTGTACATATTTTACAGGTCTATAATTGCAACAATAGCTTGTTTCGTTTTTAATTATCATCTGCATATGCTGGCCATAAAGCCGGAACTGATGAAAATATCTACATATGTACATACATATGTGCATTAGACTGGTTGAAGAAAAAAAGCCACTATTTCTTTTATTGAAAAGGACGCCTGTGAAAAGCGCAGAAGTCACGAATTTTTATTTAAATTTTTTAATTTAATAACTTGTTTTTTAGTCGAACGATTCGGAATGAGTGCTCTATACATATTTTTGTAGAAAATTGAGGGCTGTAAAAGAAAGTGTCATATGATTTTTTCACCGATTCTCTCTTCCAAAAGTTATTCATAGACAAAATCGAGCACATGTATACGAAATATAACCTTTTCGGAAAATTGTTAAACTTATCTATTACTAAATATCATACAAATTTTCTTGGAAATTTTATAATTTCCTTTGAAAAAAAGATCAGTTAACAATTTCTTGAACCGTAAAGCTTAATAAAGTTTGTATCACAATTTTACGCCACCCACATAATGGGTAGATTTCACTATTAGTTTTCTTATTATTCAATTTAAATTATTATTATTTTTTAATATAGTTTATTCTTTAACACAAACCGTATAAATGCAAGTCTTAAACTTTTTGAAATTAAAAAAAATACAAACTTTCGTAAAAATTTCTAGAATTTTTATTAGATTTACAAGAAAGATTTCGAGTATGCAGCTTTATCGCCCGTTAAATTTTAGTGTAACAAAGTGTTTGAAGCAGCTTAATTTTTGACAATTTTTTTTACGGTGTCAGTCACTTTCTTTGAAATTTATAAATTTAAGTTAAATGATTTTTTTTTTCAGAGAAAATTCAGGGAATCAAAAAATTTCCAAGAAAAAATTTTTAATACTTATTACAAGTTTTAAAATTTTGCCGTAAAATAAAAAAAAAAACTTCAAAGAGGGTACTTATGGAAAAATCGTATGAGGCCTTTTTACAGGCTTCAATTCCTTTAAAAATATATATCACTCATTCCGATATGTTGGCTTAAAAAGGTTGCTATAAAATTTCTAATTTGATGAAATTATTTTCCTCTGTTACTTATATGGAAATTAAAAACTGGCGATGAGCGATAAGCGACCTCTAAATATTAATATTAGGTGCTGCACCCTTGACAAGCTTTTATTGCGTTTCACCTTTGTGTAATCAAATCTTTCAATAAATTTTTAACTGAATTCCCGATGAGCTAGAGACTTGAATTAGTCCGGTAGATGGCGCAGGAGTCGAAATATTTTGTAAACCCCTATGTATTGTGCAATTTGATTTATATTCAAAGCGCATAATAACTTCATGAAAAGGAATAACTACAATAACATTTTTAGTATATTTAGAAATTCCGTATTTATGATACGATTTTTTTTTTCATATTTAGAACGTATATTACTTAAATGGGAAGAAATAACTCCACAAAAAAGTGGCCGTTAGTTGGGGTGGGAGTCGATTTTTTTTTAATTACTTGTAAACCAGTCTAATGTACATAAATACATTCATATGTACATATATACATACATATGTATGAAAAAAAAATTTGTTGAAATTTTCTGTGAAAAAGTCCGTTTATAACAGAAACATTTTTGTACACAAACAACATGAAAATACGATGTTTTCACAAACCAAAACTGTATTTTTTCTTTCTCTCTTTCTTTTGCACAAACAAAATATGTGATACCTACTTACACCCCACTGCATACACACACGCATACTCTGGCACGCGCGTACTTCTTCTACTCAACTCTTAAAACGCCTACAACTCAAACTCAAACTCAACTCAACTGTATGTACACAAATCTATGTAATGTCTACGTGTTTCTGACATTGGTATTCTGGGCCAAAAATGAAATTTTCAAATCGAAATATGCCTTCTTTTTCCTTGCAACACTCCATGATTTTCGTTCTAAAAATCGTCCACTTACTTTCCCACCCCCATTTACATGCACTTGTTTTGCGTACGCAATGAAATTTATGATTTACCAATTTGACTTTACATTTCCGTGTAAAAAAAAAAAAAAAAATTTTTGTGCTTAATTTTGGTTAAAAACTCGTTATACACATCCACTACTTACATACATAATTTTCTGCTGCGTTATATTTTTTACACATATTTTTACAAATTGCAAAATTGTTTTTTGTATTCAATTATTTTGCTTGGTTGGTGATTGGTTTTTTAACTATTGCACAAAATTTTATAATTTCTTTTCAAAACACACTAACACCTACATGCTGACCTACTCTTTTTCTTTCAATACTTATATTTCTTTTTTTCCCTTTCATATTTCCCACTCGCTCCATCTCTCTCTCTCTCTCTCTTTCGCCCCAAACTTGTCATTTTCTTGCTCACTCTATCTCGTCTTCAAATCATTAACAATCACAGAAAAATTCGTAGGTCCAGTTCCTGAACCTTTACTCAATTGGGTGACGGAACTGAGCAACGTATCGGCGAATCAACGCTGGGTGCTGTTGAAAAACCTCAAAGCGGCTACAGTTTATCAATTTCGTGTGAGTGCTGTAAATCGAGTTGGCGAGGGCTCACCGTCTGAACCGAGTAATATAGTGGAATTACCACAAGAAGGTGAGTTTCAAAAATGATTTACTTTACATAGCTAAGAGTTGTATTAGTGTATATGAGTACTATTTTATGTTTATTTTTTTTTATAATAATTAGTTACCTTTTTAAATATTATTTTTTAGTTTAGATTAAGTGGTACCTAAATTAGTAAATAATGGCTTTTCAGAATTTTTGTGAACTATTTTGGTTTTGGTATTCACTTTTGGTTCGACTGACGACGTCGAACAATATTTAATATAAAAATATATGTAAAAGAAAATACATAGCCAAGCTTTAAATTAATTTCAAATTTCCTAAGATTTTCGGCATTCCTTGTAAAAAAAGTGGTTTTTTTTCCATTATACATTGTGAATACTACATGATTGTAAATCTATAGATCCTCATAAATATTTTTTTTTAATTATAATTTAAAGTACAAAGTATTTCCGTTTTGTGATATTTCTAAAATTACATTTTAACAGCTAAAATCAGATTTTAAGATATTAGGATTGATCCTTATTTATACCACTACGAACAATGGGTTAAAGCGAAAATCACTGTTAGTCCCGGTTAGCTCCTCCGTCCCGTTAAGAAAGTCTAAAACGCAATCTTACAAAAACTGGGCAGTCTAGGAAGAAGTGTTGAGATGCAGCTGCAACAAATAGGACCACTGTGATATTTAATCCCACTGCATGAGCCCCAATCGGATAGTGGCATATCAATATACCCACAAGTATTCAGAGGCTCGGCACCTCGCAAACGTAAGATAAATTCGGCATTCTCGTGCTAGCTTCGAGCGTGTACCGTAAGCGACCCCAGTGCTCTGGTTGCTGCTTGACTGTGTGAGTAAATATTAACCTATCTCACGCGACAGCTGCCAACCGACTGTTTCCTTAATAGCAGCAACCACTAAAGAGATCCGGAAACCAAAATTTAAGTTTGATGGAGAGTGCCTTAGAAAATACCCCTCTACTAACCATACCGTCAGGCTTCAAGTGTCAAATTGCATCGTTGCCTACTTCCAACCGCTGCCCTTCTTCCGCTTATCCCCCAATGTGCGTGGAGAAAATGTGTCCAGATCCGGAGTAAGCCTTACCAGCAATACCGACAGACGCTATGCACGACGTTAAGGACCACGGTTGGAGTGGCCCTAAGTGTCCCACTGATTACATTTGCTCCATCTTCCCGCTTAGCGTAGTCTTTTTCAGTGCTTTCTACCACACGAGGACGATAATGGGATTGACTATGAATTCACAGAGACCAAAAACAACTTTGGGAGAGAGGACCCCCTACAATTATATAGAGCCATTGAAACCTTCGTTGCACTCTCATCGATATTAGGACTGCAGGACAGCTTCACATCTAGAAGCAAGCTCATGACAGGTATTAAATGCATACCCTCTTATCGAGAGTGGAGTTGTATGCGGCACCTTATACCTCCTAGTGAACAAAACCAGTTCCGTTTTACTTGGATTTACAGCAAATCCAGAGTTATTAACCAGCTTATAATACTCTTGAGTTAAGTCGTAGAGAGTATCCAAAAAACGTTCACCTCGCCAAAAGTGCAACCTACTCACCAACTCCTCTAGCAGGTCGTTTACGGCCAAAATCTTGAAAAGGCGTAAGAGAATACCACCCTGTGCCGCGCTGCTATGAACCTTACTCTCTCGACAACTCTGTCACTGATCATGCGAAATATAAGCTTGGTTTTTAACCCAGTGATCTGACGTTGTTAAAGGCCCGCTCTATGTCGAGAAAGACTCCCACTGTGGAGTCTTTATGCGTTAAGGCTGTCCCAATGGAATTCACAATCAGCTTCTACAGAGTTTTAAAGCAAAACCGATGAGAGGCTGATTGGTCTGAAAGAGATATGTGTGTGAAGAGATTTGAGGTCTTTTTCTAGCCTTCGCTATAAACGTCACCCTGCCACTCTTCAGTCCTAGGGGATGTGCGACGCAGTTAGCGAATATTGGAGCAGTCAACGGCACGACAATTCTAGATTTTTTTTTAGCAGCTGAGCGGGTATAATGCCGACAGATTCCGTTGACTTGACGGGCTTCAAAGAATACATCGCCCAAGCAATGGGAAGCCTTTCTAGTAGGTCACTGAAGGCAGTGCCTTTGCCCCAAGACCTCGAATAGCAGGCCTCTCCCGGAGCTTAGTTGTATGAAAAAATCGGGAGCTAAGGGGAATATTGAGCCACTCCACACTACTCATTGTCCAGCAGATTTGCAGGGAAAAACCAATCGTACTTTGTAAAGTTCCCAGAGAGGCTTCCCTCCGTACTTAAAGAGACCAGAGCGGGTTCCCTTCGTCCTTAAAGTATCATACATATGTACATACGTATTAATCAACCTTGAATGCATTTATTTTTTTTTCAAAATTTATCCGGATTTTATTGTTTATTGAAAATCGCGTAAAATTTTTATTATTTTAGAACCAGGTTTTAGTTTTTCTTGTTGCATATTTAGCTGCTCAAACTTTTTAATTCCACATACATAGATAATTCTTAATTTGTCCGAAATGCTTTACGACTGTAACTAAAAGCCTATCAGATTGATAAAATATGGAAGCTTTTATATTTAACCCCACACACATCCATACTAGTGTCGAATTTTGCTTAAAACTTGGTGTTAGCAAATAGAAAGAACACAGTAGACCTCAGCGCACACGAGCTTTTACAGTTATTTGTAAGAAGTTCAATCAAATGAAGCTAAAATTTTGAAAACTTTTAGCTGCAGACAATAAATCTAAATTAAATTTATATAAATTTTAATTTGAAATAACAAAAAATCAATTTACTTATAAATAAGTACAAATTAGTTCGTTTGATTTTCAATTTATCATTAAATGTTTTAAAAAGCTGCTTTTAAATTAAACTTTTTTTAGTATTTCGTTACTTACTTTTTTATTTACGTAAATCCCATTAATTCGTTTCCATTCGTTGTGTTCAATTCAAAGTACAAACTTACATAAATTTTGAAAATTTGTAACTCTATTCCAAAGCAATGCTAACACAAATGTATTAACGCTATTGTATTCCTCTTTGTCGTTATTATGCGCCTTAAAAATTACCGGCTGTGTAAAATAATTTGTAGAATTACCGCTTCACCGAGGTACATCAATTTCTAACTCACATTTTAAGTCTAATTTCCTTGTGCATACCTTCCAAGTTTTCGATGATTTTCTAACACTCCTCTCTCGCTCTCGCTCTCGCTCACAGCACCTTCGGGTCCGCCAGTCGGTTTCGTCGGCTCGGCGCGTTCAATGTCGGAAATCATTACACAGTGGCAGCCACCACTCGAAGAGCATCGCAATGGCCAGATACTTGGCTACATACTACGTTACCGTCTCTTCGGCTATAACAATGTACCGTGGACTTATCAGAATATAACCAATGAAGCACAGCGTACCTTTCTCATACAAGAGCTCATCACGTGGAAGGACTATATCGTACAAATTGCCGCTTACAATAATATGGGCGTGGGTGTGTACACGGACGGTGCCAAAATCAAGACGAAAGAGGGCGTGCCTGAAGCACCGCCTACCTTTGTCAAGGTCAACGCTCTAAATTCAACATCGGTGCGTGTCACTTGGACACCACCTAATCCACAACAAATTAACGGCATCAATCAAGGCTACAAAATTCAGGCTTGGCGCACTGAAGTAATTGAGGGCGAGCCACGTGATATTGAGGAACGCATGATTACGGTGCCGCCAAGTTTACTAGATCCGCTGGCAGAACAGACTGCAGTCATGTCGGGACTGGATAAATTTATGAACTACAATATTACCGTATTGTGTTTCACCGATCCCGGTGATGGTGTGCCAAGCTACAAGGTGCCTGTGAAGACGCTGGAAGATGTGCCAGATGAGATAATGGCTTTGCATTTTGACGATGTGTCCGACCGTTCGGTGAAAGTGCTCTGGTCGCCACCAAGGAACGCCAACGGCATACTAACCGGCTATAGTGTGCGCTATCAAGTGAAAGATCGCACCGAAACTCTCAAATCCGTCAATCTCACTGCCGAAGACACCGAGCTGACTGTCACACAATTGCAAGCCACCACACACTATTGGTTTGAGATACGTGCCTGGACAAAAGTTGGCGCTGGGCCAGCAAAAACGGCCACCATACAGTCGGGTGTGGAGCCAGTACTACCACATCCGCCCACCAATTTGGCGCTCTCCAATATTGAAGCGTTCTCTGTAGTGCTGCAATTCACACCTGGTTTCGATGGTAATTCATCTATAACAAAATGGAAAGTAGAGGCACAGACTGCACGTAATATGACCTGGTTTACGGTGTGCGAAATATCCGATCCGGACGCTGAAACACTGACCGTGACGGGTCTAATGCCATTTACGCAATACCGCCTACGGCTGATCGCTACAAATGTCGTTGGCACATCGCAACCTTCTGAGTCTACAAAAGATTTCCAGACTATACAAGCACGTCCTATGCATCCGCCCTTCAATGTAACGGTGCGTGCAATGAGTGCAACACAGTTACGTGTGCGTTGGATTCCTTTGCAACAGACCGAATGGTTCGGTAATCCGCGTGGCTATAATGTCACATATCGTCAAGTAGAGAGCGATACACGAGTACAACCGAAGAGTGTCATGATCGAGGATCACACTGCCAATTCACATGTGCTGGAGAGCCTGGAAGAATGGACGGTTTATGATGTTGTAATGAGTGCTTGCAACGACGTCGGATGCTCTAAGTAAGTAAC